CGCTATTTCCTCATCACGTGCTCTACTGAATGTAGTGTATGAACCTGAGGAAAGTTATGGATTTCATTTAAGTCCTTGATACTAAAGGTCAGGAGGAAAAACAAGTTGCAGATGAAAAACATTTTGATCCTTAAGGTTTGATCACATCCAAACTGCAATGAACATGAGGCACCTTTTGGTATGCCAAAATTTGTCACAGCAAACTTAGCTATGGAACCATTTGACTCAACTTTCTTGGTAAAGTCACTCTGTCTAACTTGCAAACCAAACCTCGATGAAAAAAACTCTCTCCAGTGTAGTGAAGGACCAGGGAGGTGTTATATTCCTTGTACACTTTACAGAGGAGAAAATGCACACAAATGTAAATCTTTAAGTACCTAACAGGAATCATGCTTGAAACTTGATTTCAATGTGGGTTTTACCCTCTCAATGACATTACCCTACCACATATATATGAAAATGTTGATGCCAAGTTTGATTTCAGACAGTTTTGCTCTTCTTTAAAATTCACTGCTTAATCTCTTTGATGTTAGGAAAGATGACAGAAATAAACTGATGCCATTAACATGCACTGATCAAATTATGCTTTGCACTTGAGATTCTTTATCAAAAGATAACTAAAAAGAGAACTAGCAACATTAATTGGTTTCTTTCACTTGGAATTTCTAGAGACAAAACATCGTACACAGCAGGGATGAGGGAACCTCCTAACTGCATTGTAAATCATACATTCATGGCTGTCAAATATCAGTTTGCACCTATTCTAACTAAGAAATGAATATTTCTCCCAATGAGAACCAGAGATATAGGTTGATAAGAGATAAAAGTTGGCCAACAGACTATCACCAACATACAAGACTACTACTAACATCTGCTACTACACAAAAGTATCTTTGGCAATGGATATAGAAATTACAATGCCAAAAGCTAGATTTTGACATCAATTTGTCTCTAGAATTAAACAGTCAAGTATTTTAAACAAGGGGTCACTCTGGGGGTCTCTTTTCAGCATATTTCTTGGTATAATCTTCAGCATTCTTCATGAACTTTTTCTTATCCTTTGTATACTCCTCTGCTAGATCTCCACGGAGAGGGTGCTCAGGTTCAGGTGAGTGAACAAGAGCCACAAGAGCTTGAATAACTGGAAGAAAAAAAATTGACAAAATATATATCACATAACCAAGGTTTCAACCCAAAATGCCATTAACATGTACTTTATTCTCACTAAATCATTCACCAAACAGACAATTAGAAAAGCCTAACTCATTACCTGAGGTTACCATATTTTGATACATATACAAAACCAATTTCTCCAAACTGATTCACAGCCAAATGTATAAAGCAGGAAGGGAGAGTTCAAACTCAGATCATGGAAGTAAAAAGGATACATAGGAAGGTAAATAACAGTGAGTGCAGCTTGCACACACTATAATTTTCACTAATGCTGATTTCTGGCCCTAGCATTTGGTACAACATTATAACCACAAAAGAATTCTTACATTTCACTGACTTGTTTGTTAGTGCTAATTTTCACTTCAAGGTATGACCTAACCCTTAGGTAGCTAGTTGTGTAAGCCATAGGGTAAAGATGAGTTGTTTCCACATAATTAAAGAATACTGTTCAAATTTTACATTCCCTATGTACAAACCTTGATCTGTTTTTGTTGCTGGCTTCCAGTTTTCTGGGCTGATGATTGGCAGACATACTTGCCCTTTTTCATCAATGTTGGGATGATAAATCTTTGTCTTAAATGTAATCTGAAAAAAGCAGCATTGTTAGTAAGAATTAACCCACAAAATAAACACTACAAAAATGTTTTTGTAGCTCCTAATATTCAAGTCATGAACAACCCCTGAAAAACATTAGAAGGAAACCTTGACAGTTTCTTGTAAAGGTCATCAAACTGGCAACTTTCCTGCCAAATTAAGCTGCTTTAAGCTTTTCTTCTTGCCCTGGCAACCAAAAGAGTTGCAGTGTAGAACACTGATTAAAAAAGATCAATCCATCATTTCAAAGGGCCCGATTACATGAGCCGGGCTGGCCCAGTTAGCCGGGCTGGCCCGGTCAGCCGGGCTGATTTCTTTTGTTTAGGTGTTCGCCAAAGCGTGAAAACAAAAGAAATCAGCCCGGCTCATGTAATCAGGCCCAAAGAGTTTCTCTAACAGGCTTTAAGAACCCACTCAAACTCTTGGGTAGAAAGAGAAGCCAAGAGAAGGGGTTTAGATCAGACATCTTGGATGAAAGTCCTGTCAACCAACAATTAGAGCACAACTCCTCCTATACTTATAAGAACTGACCAAAATGATGTATTGCATCATTCTTAATACATTTTTTCTCTATTAGTCATTTTCTCACCTTTGGAGGCTTGAAAGGATATTCTGCAGGAAAATTTATCTCAATCTTAAATGCTCCCTTATTGTACGGTGCCTGATCCTATAAAGGAACAACAGAAGCTTTAAGTGTCAAGGTGTAAATTCTCTAAAATATAGGTTGACATTTTTTGGGGAGTTTGGTTTAGTACCATTTTCACTGTTTGGTACCCTTTGAAATTAAATCATTGGTAACAGATTTTAATCTGTTAGAGAAATCTGTGAGAACACTAGCAAAGATTACTTAACTCATTTAATCTAGTGAACCCTTATTAATGATCAACCAAAAAAAATCTTTATTCCCCCCCCCCCGACTTTGCAAATTTTTCTGCAATAATGCCAACAAAGAAGGGAAGTTCAGAAAAAAGAGTTTATCTCATTATTCCTAATACTTCATTATAATTCCAAGTTGTAGTGAAGGCTCATAAAAGGTACCGTTAGCATAATCGTGTACACATAAATTGAATATTATATGTAACAAAGTTCACCAGAATAACTCTTTTAAACAAAAGCTGAGGCAAGTAAGAGATTTTATGTTGTGCAAATGCAGTAACAAGTTTTCAGACCAATTTTCAAAGGTAAGTAACCGCAAAAACTTCCACGAAAGATGAGACCAGATTTATTTCGTCAAACGATAACGGAAGTTAAAGCGAAAGAGAACTCTAAAAGAGCCAGATAGAAGAAATATATTAAAATCAAAAAAGTTTCAGATAGATTAAGATACCTACCGGTATGATTAACCCTTGCCAGTTTAGAATATTAGTCTCAGACACACAAATATCACGAAATATTTTCTGACCAGATCCTTTGATTTCTGAGAGTTCCTGCAAAGACAGAGAACGAATCGGTTAGTTCCGACATTGCGGGCGATTGCAAATTATCCCGTCTCAGTGATGTAATAAAAACAGCACCAAATTGTAGTCAGGTCCACGAATTGCATTTCTCACGATTGAAAAATAGACAGCCAATGCTAAAGAAATAATTGTTATAGACCACGACTATCAAACCAATGACTAAATTGATCAAGACAGTTGAAGTTTAAAACGGACACAACTACTGACATGGTGATCCAAATCACTTTCATTCGCCGGGACCGGATCAAGATTTCCGCAATATTTTGTCCAGATTTTTGACAGGTTTCCATATTTCTATCCACAAATCTTTTGCTGAAACATTAAATAACTAATCTATATTCAAATTGACGAAATTCATCGCTATTAACAGAAGGGTTCCCCTTTTAAAGATAACCTACCTTTCCCAATCTCCTTGTAGCCGCCATGCTCGAAGGAACTTCTCACAAGTTTAATAACCAGTCTCCGCGCAGCCACTATTACCCACGATTCCATGGTGCAAGAAAGGACACTATATTGGGGTGGGGTTTCGGGCGCGGCCGAACTATTGTACAGTTTCGAAGAAGAAATGAGGGCAATGCCCAGGCGCAGGCTGCAACCACAAACAGTGAGTGTAATAACCAATTACATCGCTAGGGAAATAAGTAATTCTAATTCACACGATCGTTTAAATTCTTAAGAATTCGATTTTGTGCTATGATGAGCAATGGATTAATATGCGAATGATCGATCATTGACTAATGATACGAACTGAGTTAAGGCTACCTTGATCCCAATCAGACATCGAAACTGAGCGACTTGTATCGTAATGCGAGTTACTCAGAGCCCATTGATGGGCTCCTGAACAACTTCGAATTCTATAAAGGAAAACTGTAATCCCCCTAAGAATATCAATTAGAAGCCTATTTATCAAAGAATTGTAATGAAGCGAAATTTTCACAGAAATTGTTTCAATTGGGGGAAGGAAAACAGATTTCAGTTTCAGTCAAATTTGATAAAAAAAACAACAACAACAAACAAACAAACAATGCACGGTACGTAAAGGGTTTGCCTGAATCGTCAGTGGCCGCGGGGTGAACACCAGTTTTGACCAGTTTTCAAATTTGTTGGTGGTTGATAAGCCCATTGACGATTTAACAACTAATCGATTCTTAGAAATATGATTGGTTTTTTGGAATAGTCTTTGAATTTTTTAATGATCGATTGGTACTTAAAGAGTGCACTAAATATTCACTGATACGTACAGACTTCATTCCACGAAACGTAATCGTTAACCATTTTCTGAGCAATTCATCACAATAACAAATCCATCATTATAGAGCAAACTAGAACTGGAATGCTCATAAATTAATTTTAAGCTTGTTAAAACCTGCGGAGACAAATCGTTGAGGGAAGAGCAAACAAAAGACTGACTATTTACGTGGATTCATGGTCAAAAAGTAACTCAGCACGACAAGAGCATGTGATCAGGAAATCAAACTTGAGGATTTAGGACAGCAGTCCGCAGAAATGCCTTGGAAAGAGATATAGCTATGTACCAAATGAATTCCTCTAAGATTACAACTCTCTGATGTGATTTATTACTCGGTCAGTACAAAAATGGGCATTGGTCAGGAAAGGGGGAAATCTCAAATACATATTTATTGCAAGGAAGGAATAAGGTTTGCGACTTCAATGAGTCCGTCCATATCCAGAACACGATACAAATGCCTGTCAGTAGACGAAACAAGCCCAAGAATCTCTTGCAGGCCGTAGGTAAAACCCCCAACAGCTACTACGAATATCTCAACCCCATCATCTTTTAAATTGAAGGCCTTGAATAACGTAAGATGTTTCCCCATGTTTGATAAGCCATCCGTGACTAGGAGAACATTTTTGTGACCTGCTGGGTCAAAACCAGACCTGCATGTAAACAACAAAGCCATTACTAAAAATAAAGCAACTTTTCACCAAGCGGCTGGTATCATTCCTTGCCATTTATTCATTCTACAGAACAAAGGAGGTCAAGCTAGAGAATAGTTCGTCAGTTCATCCGACAGGGCGTCCTGTTAGAACATCTCATTGAATTTAGGATATTTGTCACAATTAGTCATTAATTAGCGTTACTTTTCCAACCCAGAGTTAGAGACTCGTTTATCTCAGAGACCCTCCTCGCCACCCCGGTTATGCTTTCGTGATCGGAGAGGGTCAAATTAAATTTAGTTTACCGTACAGCGGGCGATCTTTTTTTATCATGGAATGATCGCATTTTTTCCTGGCTTGAAGGTCTTGAGAAGGTTATTGCGACTTCCTTTGAAAAGTATCGGCGAAAGCATTGCTGGTTGTCAGTTTTCCCGATAATTCGTTGGTATTTAAGAATAAATATTAGCGAGAAAAACACACAACGTTTCGATGACTCCATGTCATCATTCTCAAGTGAGAAGAGAATAAAAATGAATAATTAATTTATACCGTACGAAGGTGACAAACGTAAAAAGTTAAGAAAATTTTTTTAAAATTGAAATAAATAATTGCGCGTGTCGAGTTCAGAAATGTAAACTATTAAATAAATAGTTTCGCGCGCATGGAATCCGATTGTTTGTTCAAATAGGGCTTCATCTTCTTTATGAAAAGCATTTCACGAACTAAACAGTCCAGTTTCCCTGTGCACTTTTTAAGTACGTTGAAATGCTTAGGTCGGACCTAACTGAGGTGACAAAACCCTGGACTGCAAGCTCAAATATCCATCAACGAAAATGCTGTTCACCGAGTGGTTTTGCCTTTTAAAGATCAAAAGTCAGCTGACGCAGTGAAAAGGCAATTATCAGATCTAAGCAACAAAATCGATCACACCCTTCAACCCGTGTTCAAGAGTCGCAAAATCTTTTAAGATCTCAGAATGCGTGACCCTAAACCTCCTATACTTAGCCAACAATGCGTTGTATATAATTATAAATGTGATCTGTGCGATGCAGAGTACGTCGGGTACACCAGCCGGCATTCACATCAACGTACTGATGAGCACCGTAATTCGGCCATCGGCAAACATCTAAAGAACGACCACAGCCTACAAACCATTGGCGACCTGACCAAGCATTTCAACGTACTTAAAAAGTGCACCGGGAAACTGGACTGTTTAGTTCATGAAATGCTTTTCATAAAGAAGATGAAACCCTCTTTGAACAAACAATCGGATTCCATACGCGTGAAACTATTTATTTAATAGTTTACATTTATGAACTCAACAAGCGCAATTATTTATTTAAATTTTTAAAAAAATTTTTTTAACTTTTTACGTTTGTCACCTTCGTACGGTATAAATTAATTATTCATTTTTATTCTCTTCTCACTTGAGAATGATGACATGGAGTCATCGAAACGTTGTGTGTTTTTCTCGCTAATATTTATTCTTAAATGTCTAACAAAATCTAATGTCATTCGAATTCGTTGGTTCTCCCTTTAGAATTCTACAGGTGGAGGGAGGCGGTGAGTGAGTTAAAAGCCTTGACTGTGAACATTATCTGGACCTTGGACCAGGAATTCTCAATCCTGAGTCCAGCATACTGACTGATAGCCAATCGTAACTTCTACACAGGCGACATATACTTACAGAGGATTTCCAAAGAGCCTGTCTTTGCACACCTGCAAAGCCTCCTGGGTATTGGTAAGGCCTGCCTTTCGAATCACTGTCGGCAGTAGAGCTATTGTTTCACTTTTGGAGATGAATTTTGGTGTGAGCACAGTGGCACCCGTGGCAAAATTCACCACAGCATAGAGTGTATCATTTCTGGCCCTTTCAGTCAGGTAAACCAGGGCTTTAAGTCCTTTCTGGTAGTTTTCCTCTCGAATCGAGTTGGAGGAATCGATGACGTAGATGACATTATTGATGGTATTATTTGGTGCACTTTCTTCACCAGTTTGTCGTCTGGATCGAGATCGTCTGGCGATCAGGCTGTTATTACGGCGCAGGAAATATCGCATAATTTTCTCCGCCGTAACGATTGGTGCTGGGATCTGCAGGGTTTCTGTTAGGAAACAATTGGGTTAGATGAAGAGTTCAAATCCTAAAGGACACAGGGAATAAACAGCGAGGTCCTATAATTTCAGGCCGGGGAATTCTTGAACTCTCCGTTATCCCAAGTTTTACTATTGTCATCAGTGATTGGTCCAGTAATTCACAACAAATGATGTCACGCAATGACGGGAGAAGAGTCTTCGCGTGACATCCACGGCAGCGGAGGAAACTAGCGATAAATCAACAGCGGATATTTATTTTGAAATCGGAGTCTGTATTACCGCATGTCACGCTAAGACTGTTTTGAATACATCCGGCCATAAATGCTGCCATCAGGGTTCACGCACTAACCTGTGGCACAATGGAGCCTTTTATGAAATTAGGACTAACGAGGAAATCTGGTTTTCACGTGACGTCATCAAAATTTTAAAAAATAAGGAGTTATCAATCTTTTGAGATTTTAGTTTAATTAGTTAATAGAACAGCTGAAGACTTAACGTCTTACACATTTTCAGTTTGATAAGGTTTTTCTTATTGTGATGAAGCAAGGTTTCATTTCTAAGCATTTGCGTGACACGATATTAAAATGGCGGCCGAGAAAGCTGTCACGTAGATTAAAGAGAAGTGACTTATCCGCCGAGATTTCGCAATCTGAACAGTAATTGCATGAGGATAAGTACTCAGATAGATATTTATGAGCTCTTAGATGACGACTACAGACTTCATATGGCAAAACGCGATGACATATGTTTTTGTTAGCTTTTGGCCGCCATATTTGTGCCCCTAAGAGGGGCACAAACAGACAAGGCGTTTTCATGCAAAGCCTTACGGGTTTGAGTAAAACATTTCTGCATTTATCTCCCACACGAAACATTGCACAGATCTGGGTTTTTGAAAGATTCTTTGTTTGAAAATTCGTGGTTTTGATGAAAAGCGGAAATCTTTGCTTGTTGCCCGACAGAAACGTAGAAAAATTGTCGGAATCATAAAATCGGGTTTTTATCTCGCGAGAATTACTCGCATTTGGTTTCTAAACGATATCTTGATAGGAATCCCTGACCAGCAGGAATAAACGAAATCAAGACTTTGTCCAGCGGATTTTAATCTGACAGGAAATTCATGTCAGAGGACTTAGAATCCAAATATTGTCCTTATGGTGTGTAAATCCCATTTAGACGCTGAGCCATTAGGTGGGCCATATCCAGACATATTTTGCATCCTTTGTAATCACAACGCTAAAACGGTAAGATCGATTAAGTGTGACTGTTTTTCCTTTTTCTCCCTCCATTTCTAAACCCGTATCCAGACAAAAAACGTCTCCATACCTTACCTTTCACATCAGCGCGCTCCTAAACAGACATATTGAGAAGGATAACCGTCACTCTACCCCCGGATCAAATATTGCACCCAATGACAATTCTTTCTTCTTACCTGCCTCGATCGCCTCTGAAAGATATCGATTAGAGTGTCTTCGACTAGCTAACACAAAACAACTTGGTCCAGCCAAAAACACAAAAGCAAACAGAAGTTTATAAGACATCGCGGAGTGGTTCACTGGCACCAGTTGTATGGGTAATGGGTACCTGTGTACCTCGTAATCTGTGCAAAATAGCGAGGTCTCCTCGGCAGTCCCCAGTCAGTGTTTTCACAAGAAAAACATTATCATCGTGTAACACAACCTGATCATGTTACGCATATTTAGACGATTGTTGAAATCAAAACTGAAGCGTACTTGTTTTGAGTAGATTTGTACAAGTTGATTTGATAACAAATTGACATTGTACAAACTATGTGAGTTTTTAACGAACATAGGACTGGAAGTTTTCATTTTTATTTGGCTATTAAAGAGCCTAAGTAACAGTATGTGCATCCATGGAAAAGCATTCAACAACAGGCGGCCCAAGTGTGCTGTGTGGGAATTTTTGGGTCTAAAGTTCATTAACGGGAATACCCAACATATTACGATTATTAATTATTATTTTTTAAGCGAGGTATTTCCTAAGAGATGACAAACACATTGAGTTGCTGTGTGGTCGGTTCATAATTAAGTTATGACAAGTGCCTCCCTACTTAAGCTTGAAGGTGAAAATATTATTGTTAAGAATTGATATGCCGCCAAGATTCAAATTGTACGCTGTTCCTTTTTAGATTCATACGGCACTTTTCTCTCTTCAGTTTGCGTCTTGGAGAGGAAAAAACAATATTCAATTGAGTGCCTCTTTCTAAACCAATCCGATTTTCCCTCGACTGAATGCAAAGCTAAAACGAATCGCGACTGGACCACTCGCATTTTCTACATGCCTCAGGCAGTTTTCCCGTAACGTTACTTTGTGGCTATCTTCTTTTGTTGATCATACCTCGCCTCGCTTTGGTACGTTGATCCCCCGCAAAGAGTTCGTCCCGGAAAGGACAGAACTGAAACAAAGATAAGTCAGTGACAGAGTGGAAGTCATCATCACAGTCAACTTTAGGGACTTTAGGGACCTTACGCAAACCACGACGGCGACGGCAACGGGAACGTGAAAAAACAAAAGATCTAATTGGAAGAACAATAGCCCAGCACGTGCGTTTTAAAACTTTGTTCATTTCTTAGACGCCCTTTGCACAACAAAAACGTGAAATCACCAAAATTTGCTTCGTCTGCGAACCGAAACCGCGACGGCAAATTATTTTAATTTCCATTTGGCCCTCAACGCTACTTTCATGCGTTATGTTGAGTTTGAGGTCTGGCGCCCTATGAGACGGTAAACACATGCAGTCATTTTCGAAATTCTAACTAAAAGTA